CTTCCTTCTGGTGACCGCGGTCAAGACGAGCGAGCAGCGTTTTCCAGTGGAAACTCGCTGGCAGCACGTGCTCAAGCCGAAGACAGCTCTGAGGTGACAACGCTAGAGAACATTCCAGGCCAACTCCGGGTTCCACGCGTCCACATTTCACCGATTTACAAAGACATCAGTGGTAGAAATCACGAGGCTGGTCACACACTGGGAAGAGTGTAATCAAGGTCGCTGAACAACGTGGGCAGAAATAGATGAGAGCCAACCATTGGGAAAGCCTTCAGCAGAAACACAACAGATCCTGTTAAACAGGGGGGGGTGGGGTGGGTGTGTGTGTGTGTGTGTGTGTGTGTGTAAACAAAGCAAAGAAAAAACAGACACAAAGAGCACTCAATTTGAACAAATGGCTACTCTCAGCTCAGGTGGAAACACGCGACAGCTGTTAAAATCAAGACAAAGTTAATTGTTTCCCTCCAGAAAACTTTAATATCATACATATGCTGTCTGTGCTATCTATGCAAAGGGTAAGTTGTTTAGTTTGATTTGGGGTTGGTTTTTGTTTGTTTGTTTATACTCAATTTATACTCCCTTCATGTGACTGTGGCAGTTAGGTTTTATGCCAATTTGCATTTGTGTTGGGGTGGAATACAACCTGTCCCGTGGGTCACAGCCTGAGGAGACCTCCAGGGAGGTGTGGCATTTTGAAGGGCCCTTGTACTATGAATTGGAACCAACTAAACAGCACCTGGCAATAACTCCTCACTGTCTTATTAGTCTACATTTTGCACTTAGGACAATAGCAAAAACTCTATTCCCTATTATGCACATCAACGTACAATCATTGCTACGGACAGTAATGAATGTCAAGGTAGAGGCCAAAGTAGCACTAGTTGTGTTGGTTAAGGTTATGTGTCAACTTGGCAGGGTTATCATTCTGCATGGTTTGGCAGTTGCGTGCTAATGTAATCATCTTCCATTTTGTAATCTGATGTGGTGCTTTTCCATTTTCCAATAAAGCTAATTTTCCCAGAATGAAACTAATCATGTTGATAAAGTGAAGAATGGATGCAAAGGGTTGTCCTCTGTGCCGGGCACTGTTCTAGGCCCTTTGCTGTATTGACTCTAGGACAGCCTGCAAAGGCATTTGGGCACTAGAGCAGGGCTGGGGAACCTTTTCTCTGCCAAGTGTCATTTGAACATTGCATTACCTCATCCGTGGGCCATACAAAATCATCAACTTAAAAATTAGCCTGGAAGAGAACATAATTCTTGGTAAAGTAGAAGGGCATCAAGAAAGAGCAAGATCTCAATGAAATGGACTGACTCAGTGGCTACAGAAATAGGCTCAAACATAACAACAATTGTGTGGGTGGTACAGGACTGGACAGTCTTTTGTTCTGCTGTACATAAATAAGGTTTGCTATAAGTTGATACAGACTGGATGGAACATAACAACAATAATATTTAGAAGTACCGTATATGCTCATGTATAAGCCGAGTTTTTCAGCACATTTTTGATGCCGTTTTTATGGTAAAATTAGGTGCCACGGCTGATACTTGGATATATGTAAATGCTTTGCTATTCTCTTTGATACTCACCTTCCCTACAAGATTGCTGAAGACAAAATGGTGCATAAGTAAATGTGGTGAAGAGAGCGGATGGTGCCCAGCTATCAAAAGGTATAGCATCTGGGGTCTTAAAGGCTTGAAGTTAAACATGCAGCCATCTTGCAGGGAAGCAAATAAGCCCATACAGAAGAAGCACACCAGCCTGTATGATCATGAGGTGTTGACGGGATCAGATATCAGGTATCAAAAGATCCAAAACAAACAATTTTACTGATATGAAAGAGCGGGGTTGGAGTGGAAACCCAAAGCCCATCTGTAGACAATTGGACATCCCCCCACAGAAGGGTTACAAGGAAGGGATGATTCAACCAGGATGCAGTATAACATTGATAAAACACTCTTCGTTCCTCTAGTTCCTAAATGCTTCCTCCCGCCCTCTTTCTGCCCCCACAACCATGACCCACTTCTACCTTACAAACCCAGCTAGACCAGAGTACACACATTAGTACAGATAGGAGCTCTCGACACATGGAATTCAGGACAGATAAAACCCCCAGGAACAGTAAGGTGAGTGAAGGGAGACAACAGACAGTGTAAGACACAAAAGAACAATAATAATATATAATTGATCAAGGTTTCACAAGGGAGGGAGGAGAAAAAAGAGGAGCTGATACCAAGGGCTCAAGTAGAAAGAAATTTCTTTGGAAATGTTGATGGCAACATATGTACAAGTGTGTTTAATACCATTGAATGATGGTTTGTAATAAAATCTGTAAGAGCCCCCCCCCAATAAAATGATTAGAAAAATAAATGCTTTCCTGTCTATAGTGTTCTCTATTTTCTAAATGATTTGTTGTGAGATTACATTAATTTATCACCAAAATAAAAAATCGAATTGTATTTACATGAATATGTCTGTTTTTGACACAAGCACTATAGGTAAAGAATAGACACATACCATTTTATTTAAAGTTTGCCTAACCAAAAAAACCCACAAAGCTAGCCTGCTCTATTTGGTCAAATGTTAAGTTACTCACTGCCATCCCGTCAATGCTGAGTCACAGAGACCCCTTGTGGGTTTCTGAGACTGGGACTGTTCACGGAACTAGAAAGTCCAGTCTTTCTCTTGAGGAGTGGCTAGTGGTTTCCAACTGCCGACCATGCGGGATCGTAGCCCAGCGTGTAACCACTACACCACCAGGGCTCCTTAATGTTACATGAACTCACCCCTAATGTGATGGCTGGAACTGCTTCTTTTTGTCGAGATGCGTGACATTAGCTGGTATTGATGGTTTTGCCAGGAGCACTCGTGGCATAGTGATTATGGGTTAGGCTGTGATCCACAAGGTCAGCAGTTCAAAGCCACCAGCTTCTCCATGGAAGAAAGATGGGGCTTTCTAATCCTGTAAAGAGTTGCCATCTCAGAAACTCAGGAGAGCAGTTCTCCCTGTCCTATGGGGTCACTATGAGCCGGCATCGCCTTGATGGCAATGTGTTTTGGTTGGCTTTTGTTTTCCTATTTGTACAGCCATCAGGCCAGACAGTCCCCATCCCTGCGCTAGAGCAAGAGGCTTCTTCCGGGAGGATTATTGACATATAAAGAGAAAGAGAGAAAAACAGAAACTGCCAAAGATCAAGGGCAGACTGCTGAGCAGCCAACCTGGAAAAATGTGTCTGCCGCACAGATTGAGTTTAGAGTTGAGTGTTCCCCTGCTGTTCTGAGCTAACCACTGGTTGACTGTTTCAACTTTGATGCTCCACAGGCATTTCCAGATAAACTTGACCGCTTCTTAACAGTTTTTCTCTAAACCTTCCTATTTTACCTTATGTCAGAGCAATGTTTCTATCATGATTCACAGAAAAAAAAGATATGTTTTACATTTCAAGGATTCTCTGGGTGGGTTCGAACAACCAACCATTTCCTCCAGGGACTCATATTCACACACATGCACACACACACAGGAGCCCCTAGGTGGTGTAAATGGTGAAGCCCTCAGCTATGCTAGTCCACCCAGATGGATCTTCTAAGAAAGGCCTGGCGATCACCACCTTGAGAACCCCAGGCGCATCGTTAGACTCTGCAACCCAGACAGCCACCGCGAGTCGGCACCGACTTGATGGCACTTAGTTTTCTTCCTGGATTTTATACAAAGTTAGATTCACAGACATAGGACAACCTCACATATACCTGTGTGCTGAGTACTCTGACATTGTCCATTCCATCTCACTTGTGAATGCTGGGGTGATCTGCTACCTTGACCTCACGGTCCACTCCTAGGTCGGCCCCAGTTTGTAAAACGTTGCAGAGGACAACCTCAGATGATTCGATTCCCCCAGAGCCTATACATGATTTTCTGGTTTACTTGTTACTGGGTGTGGACCTCAAGCCGCCTCACATCTTCCGGGAGCTTGTCTGTGACCACTGTGAGCTTCAAACAGGAAAAACAAAGTGAGGAATGCCTTCCCTCACCCCACCCCCCAAAAACCCTTCTGAACTTGCTGCCATCAAGTGGATTCTGCCTCATGGTGACAGAGTGGAGCTCTCCCTGTGGGGTTGGGGTTGGGGTCTTTACTGGAGTAGGAAGCCTCCTCTGTCTCCCACAGAGTGGATTCTGCCTCATGGTGACAGAGTGGAGCTCTCCCTGTGGGGTTGGGGTTGTGGTCTTTACTGGAGTAGGAAGCCTCCTCTGTCTCCCACAGAGTGGATGGCGGTGGGTTCAAACTCCACCTCCCAGGCCACCGCGGCTGCTTTGAGGAGTTCCTTACACGCTGTCCATTTCTTATAAATGCAGTGGTGATTATAGGCTGGGAGGATCTGCTTCCTGGATTGTTTGTTCAGGTATACTGCCCCTGATTGAAGGTGCTCTGGAGTTACAATGGGTTGTACACTGGGTTGCTAACCACAAGGTCAGTAGTTCAAACCCACAGCCAATCTATACCAATTTGTTTTAGAAAGATAAGGCTGACTGCTCCCGTAAAGAGGTACAGACTTAGAAACACCGTGGAGCTTTCTACTCTGTCCTGTAAGGTCGCTATGAGTTGGAATCAATTGGTTAACAGGGAGTGCGCGAGTGGCCTCCTTACTAGGTGGGAAGCAGCACCCCACCCCCATCACCTGCTTATATTAACAGTCCACAAGAAATCTAGGACAAATGTAGTTTACAATGAACAATTGGATTTAGGTAAAAGCTTGGGTGAGGGAAGAAATGTTTACAAAATAGCCAGGGACTTCAGACCTGCCAACAGCGAATCTGGGGAGGGGTCGGGTGCTCTGGAAGGGGATAAGTGTTAGCCCCGGCATCCGGCCCCTCGAACTCTCCCTCCCCTGTGTGTTCTTGGGTCATCTGACTGATTCACTGTTGCTGTAAACACAGGACCTGCTGTGGTCAAAGCTACTGAAACTGGGGGAAACTGGTCATGAGAACCCTGACTCTCAGCTGACAAGCTGGCTTGTTCTGTCTGGTAACCACCGCACTCTTTCCAGACCAGGACACGTCCTCGCGGCTGACCGGAACCACAGTCTGCTTCAGTCTCAGTCGGCGGAGACCTCCTTCCCCATGCCTGAGAGCTCAGAGCTGTACTTTAACGTAGACCATGGCTACCTGGAGGGCCTGGTGCGAGGGTGCAAAGCCAGCCTCCTGACCCAGCAGGACTATGTCAACCTGGTCCAGTGTGAGAACCTGGAAGGTATGTGCAATGCTTCTCAACATTTTCAAAGAGGGGAAATGATGTCTCGTCTTGTTAACATGTTTCCATGGCCTAGCTAGAGGTCCCAGAGGTCTTTATTCCCAGGGTACAGATTTCAGGGGTTCACGGACCTGAATGAGGAAAGAAATATTTTCAATATTCTCTTTAGTGAAATTTATTCTCTTCTGTAATTATGAATCTAGACAACAAATTGTGGTGGGTGCTATTGGCAAGATTTGTGGCTTTCTCACTAACGGAAATGAGCAGTGGTTTTTGTATCCCTGCCCAGTCTTTCAGAGCACCTGAAACACATTTGGGCTTTCAACGATCTCAAACTTACAATGCATGTTATTCTCCTCCTCTGGTCTCCATACCTATTATCTTAATTAAAAAGCACAACATTAAGTACAAATATTGAAAATATTTTGATAACTATTTCAATATATGTGGGGTTGGTTCCTGTAGTCCTATCAATTATTTGCATTTATAATTTATAAATTATAAATTTATATGATATACTTATATATATTAAAATTTTATTATATATTTAAAATGATAAATTTTACATTTATAAATTGCATTTATAATTTATAAATATTATTTGAATTTATAATATTAATTTATTACATGTATATATAATACTATTTGTATAATATTCTTTTAAGAAAGTAGCCTATAGGCGGGGAGGGCCTGATCTAGAGAAATTTATTCTATAGCCTGTTTTTTTTAGTATCCATTGATTGGGGGAACCCTAGCAGTTATGCATTGAGCTGAGGTCCACAAAGTCAGTAGTTCAAAACCGCCAACTGCCCCTGGTGAGAAAGACAGGGCTTTCTACTCCTGTAGAGTTACCATCTCAGAAACTCACAGGGGCAGTTCTACGCTGTCCTATCAGCTCACTGTCTCACCATCAACTTGATGGCAGTGTTTTAGTTTACTGATTGGGAAAGGGGCCCTGGTGGTGCTGTGGGTTAGGCACTGGACTGCTCACTGCAGGGTCAGTGGTTCAAACCCACTATCCACTCCAAAGGAGAAAGATGACACTGTCTGTTCCAGTAAAGATTTACTGTTTCAGAAACCCTCGAATCAGAATTGACGGACAGCAGTGGGTTGGGTTTGGATTAGTTTTGTTTGGAGAGGGCCCTTGGCCCCCATGCGACTAGGAGGTTGGAAGCTGAAGTTCACCCAGATGTGCCTGGGAGAAAGGCCTTTCTCTACAAACCAGCCATTCAAACCCCACAGACCACAGTGCTCCTCCGCCACAAAGGGGGAGGCTGCGAAGAGCAAGGAAGTGAGGGTATTGTTGGGGTGTTTGTAATCTGTCGTGCTGAAGCTTAAGAAAAGACCAACAGAGATGCCAGTTGAGGGACCCCTTTAGATGGTAAAACCCCAGCTTTGATTTCTACTAGGCCTAAGTAGATATAAATTATAATATATAATTTATATATATTTTATAATTATATAATATATATAATATAATATATAATTATATATATCTAGCAAATATT